CTGCGCCTGTCACGGCGCGCTCGACATAATCGCATAATCGTCCATTTCATCTCAAAATTGGATAAGTATAAGGCGAGATTTGTAGTTGAAGACTTAGACTGCAGTACGATTAATGCGAGCTACTCTTCTACACAATTATGGAAATTGAACGGTTAAACACCAGGTTTGAGGTGCTTGTTTTAATGTAGGACAATGTTATTGCCATTAATCTATACATATAATAAAATTGTAACTAAGCCGAATCTGTACATTAAATATTTTTTGGAAAATCTTATTGAAATAGACATTATTATCGATACAGAGTCCGAATCTATACTTTTTAGAATTTTTGTCTGTCTGTCTGTTACTGCATCACGCAAAAACCACTGGAGGGATTTTGATGAAATTTGGTATGATGATAGCTGGTTATCCGGGTCAACATATGGGATACTTTTTACCGCGAGAAAATATCTCATTTCCGAGAAAAAATACAAAAACTGCAAAGTAAGAGTATACTAATATGTAAAACCTAAGAATTTGGTTTTTGGTCATCTGAACGCGGGCGGAGCCGCGGGCAATGCTAGTATAGTTATAATATGCTAATATTGATAAAACTGTTTCGTCAATAAAAAAAGTTATACAGGTAATTTTTGCTTATTTCTGTTAAGATTTATGGCAAGTATAATTTGTACTATATAATATAATATATTATAACTAACATATTTTATTAGCAAAATTTCTTGACATTTTACGGCTATCTCATAGTAATATTTGAAATTGTATAATAATTATAAAAAAAACAACTTGATCTATTAAAAGTAACTATGTTGATCATTAAAGATAGCACAATATCAAATAAAAATAAATCATAAAGTCAAGTCTAAAGTCAATTTAAAATAGACTATTACATACTCTAGTGGGAATTTGGATGATGTCACCATTACTTATGAATGACAATGACATCAAATGTGTAGCGGATATACATATAGATGAAAGGATAATAAAATAACTATTTACCGGTAATCTATACATATAATAAAATTCTAACTGAGTCGAATCTATAAATTAAATATTTTTTGGAAAATCTTATTGAAATTGACATTATTATAGATATAGAGGCCTAATCTATGGTTTTTAGAATTTTTGACTGTCTGTCTGTCTGTTATCGCATCACGGTAAAACCACTGGAGGGATTTTGATGAAAATTGGTATGATGGTAGCTAGTTATCTGGGTCAACAACATATAGGATACTTTTTACTGCGGGAAAATATCTCATCTCTGAGAAAAAAAATACAAAACGTTAAAACTTAAGTAGGGACGAACCCGAGTGGAGCGAGGGTGAGTCGCTAGTTCTATATATAACGTGCCTTCTCCATTCTACGCGACATTGGCGATATAAATTGTGCCCAAAGGCACTCCTTGAAGCCATGAAACTAAAGAATCGATTGATTGATAAATTAACTATGTAATCTCTACAGCGTATCAAGTTATGGATTTCTTATGATAACTTTAGAAATGTTTCAGTACTGAACATATTATAGGTAATCAATGGTTCTAAGTTTCTAACTTATTGTTCTTTTACTTTGGTTTTATTATCTGGGTTTTATTATATAGGTTATTTATTAACCCCCGACGCAAAACCGACGGGGTGTTAAGTTTGACATGTCTGTTGTGTGTCTGTCTGTGGCATCGTAGCTCCCGGACGGAAGAACCGATTTTGATTCTGTTTTTTTTTGTTTGAAAGATGAATTAGTCGGGAGTATTCTTAGATATGTTTGATGAAAATCGGTCCAAGATGGTCGGGGGTTTATAAATTTTTTAAATTATCATTTATAACAAAAAATAAGTTTTGACTTTCGAAATGTATCATTAATTAATCAAATAAGTTATAATATACTTTACAAATAAACTTTTAGTCCAAGTGTAATGAGGATAACTAGCGACCTAAGTTAGATTTGCAACTTAAATATATCAAATCCTTTGATCCAAAGTTTAGAACTAATATCAATATGGCACCAAACATACGGACGACATTCCGACACATACTAAATTTCCCAGTACGCAATATGTGCCGTGCAATCAGTGTCTGTGTCGGAATTACTCGTAACTCTATTCTTATCATTCCATACACTTCCATTTCAATCGTGGGATTGTTGAGGTTTTGTTGAGAATAATTTTGGTATTTGAAACAACTACAAGAATTGTTAAGTCACTACGACCTTCTTAGGATTCGTAATGAACTTGACCGCTTCTTTAAGTAAAAATTATTAATTTTAAAAATATGTGCGAAATGAAGATATAAGTGCTTTGAAAGTCATCTATACTAATATTATAAAGAGGTAAAGTTTGTGAGTTTGTGACGTTGTAAGGGATAACCTCTGGATCTACAGAACCGATTAAGATGAAATTTGGTAAGAAGATAGTTTGAGACCCTGGGAAGGACATAGGATACTTTTTATCCCAGAAATCATCCCTTAAGGAGGTGAAAATGTGCATGAAAGTTTGTATAGGAAATCAAGCCAGGGACGAACCCGAGCGGAGCGAGGGTGAGTCGCTAGTATATAATAATAATATAGGAAACAGGTTTCCATGTCTTACCAACAACGTTAATAGCGATTTACAATACTGTTATCCTCACTAATGTTATGAATGCGAAAGTGACTTCGTTGGTTTATTGGTTTAGTAAATGAATTATCTTCCCTTCACGTAGAAAGAACCGATGGTTTTTACGCATATATACGTAGGTATACAGATATTAGTTATAGGTCCGAGAAAAGCGAGCTCCAATTTGATCTCGATGAATAAAGTGTATTGTGTGAGGACGAGCACTACAACTTTATTTTGGATAATCTAGTACCTTAACAGTTGGAAAAAGTTTTATGAATACACTAAATACGCCTTAGAAGATGATTGATTTTTACGATGAGTTGTCATTTTGTCTTATATAACTAGCAAAACCCGCGGCTTCGCTCGCACTTAAACTATCAAAAAATCTATTAAAAGGTATTTTAGTTTCATACAAACTGTCATCCCCAATTTTACCCTCTTATAGGATGAATTTCGAAAAATTCTAATTCGAATAACGTGTTTTCCCGTGGGAATTAAATATTCTTTCGCGGTAAAAAGTGTCTATCTGTCTATATATCTATGTCTGTCCTATGTCACTCTCCAGCCCTCCAACGTTCTCCACACAAAAATTCACGCCAATCCGTCACTCCGTTTCGACGTGAAAGAAGGACAAACAAACACACTTTCACATTCATAATATTAGTATGGATTGTATAGTGCCTAGTACCTTAAGTACTTCGAGCATTTGTATAACCTAGTGTTCAACGCTAAGACTATCCATTATACCTACGAACTGATGTATACACACGCTCTCGTTATGCGAGAGACGTTGATGGACCAGTAATGGCCTATTTCATAGTTAATAAGGACCGTTGTGAATATCCATTATATGCGTAACATGATGTACACTTAAGATTGCATTCTGATTAATGAATGCACTATTTTCCAATACATTGCTTAAATTCTAAGAAATTTCATCATAATATAGGCAGATGCTTATACTAAAAGAGGCCATCTATTCGTATAGTATAGAAATAATTGTAACCTACTTTAAAACTGTTATAAATGTTGACTTAAACCGCTATAAAATTTCTTATTATATCAAGATATTTCTTAAAAAGACTTTCATTCATAAATAATCTTGTTTTATAAGTTTTCCTTATCACGCAAGGCCACGGAAGGTTAACATTACCTACTACTATAAAACTGTAAACGCGGTAGCACGTACGTATAATATTTATAAGCCCGTTCATATGTCGAGAGCGTTTGTTTGGCAAGTTTTACTATGCCATAAGTTGCTAGACGTGAGAACGAAGATGTTATATTTCTCGTTGCTACCATAATTGCTTCAATTCAAATTTTACCCACGACACTAATATTACAGTCAGTACTTCAATATGTGCTTTAAGTTGGACATTTATGAGCATTTTGAATGATGTTATCACATAAATGTTTCCTCTAAGAGGATTCATTGTTTTATTTGTTAGGTGTTCTTAAATAATATGAATGTTAGAAGATACGAATAGCGGTAAAGTAAAATTATGTTGAATTAGTTTCGTTTATTGAATGATATATTTACAAGTAGGCTATCTAAATTTAGATCGGACAGTAATATGGTGCAGCCAAATGCACTATAAATATGTATATACATATATATGTATATTAATATTATTATTATTTAGGGTGAAGCATGATTGTTATTTTATAAATAATTTATATTTACATAATTCTTTTTTAAAATAATGCTTTTAGTAGAAGATCGGAAGTAAGATTATCCTTCACTAATTTGCTAACCGGATGGAAAAAGAGCTTCTGGTCTGATGAAACACGGTAAAGAAGTCTACGTAAGGTTACTTCGTTCCATAAAAAAACTTAATATTTCATAAATAATAATGTACAGTAATTAAAGAAAATTTAATATCATAATACTCAAAGAAATTAATATTACCTTTTAAAGCAAAAACGTATACCTTAATTATAATATTAGTTTTAGAGGAATATGGATGGGCGTTAAAATATAAGGAAGAAGAATGAGTCATTTGATTGAGATGAAACTATGAAAATGACTCGTATCTCGCAGGCGTTTAATTGATAGATGCGGGTAATAAAGATTACACAATTACAATTATATTGCAGGAAGTAGTTAATATAGTAGGGGATTGTTCTGTATGCTATCTATATATTTTAATGAAAATTTTTTCATCAAAATTAGGGAAGTATGTGTGAGGAATTTTACTATTTTTACTATTCGATATAAGTTATAACTGATACAAGTGAGTTATATAATATAAGCTATGTAATGTAGGTACGCAAATTTTATTCTAGATTGAACACCTTGATCACTCCATTTACGCATCCCTACTTAAAGCTAAGGTTACATTAAAAAAATATTTGAGGATTAAATACAATGACAAACACGAAGACATTCAACACAGTAAAATTAAATACTTACACGATAGCCGAGTGATGTCGTTGGTGTAGCGGCGCGGAGAGCGTAGCGGGCGGCAGAGCGGATAACGAGGCTGGCTGTGGGGACCCGCACCAACGTGCCTCACGTACGTCCGACGAACCTATATCGTATTATTCTATTAAATAATGGAGGGAAATTCATATTCTACAATCGTTATCGTTAACAGTAACTAAAAAATCTGTGGAAATAACAGATATGACCCTTAGATATGACATTTCGATAGATTTTTATAGTTTTGAACCGTAGAGCGACAACTTCTCTAAGTGAATAATTTATGTTCTTTATATTTTATATTAATCAATCAATATAGTTTACATTTGTTTATCGATTAAATCAATAAGACTATCTATAAAATATGCGTGTTTGTCACCGCTTAGGTATACATATATTGCATGAAAAAAATATTTTCTTTCACCACTATATGTGTATATGTGAGTATAATATATCCTTCATTAATTTATACGACAAACATGTACTTGCGTATAAAATCATTACTTATTAATAGGCACCTAGCCAACGTAGATAAAAGGCACATATTCTCGTATGCATTTTAGCGTTTGCCAAATGACTTTATATTGACAGAATTTATTGCTTTGATTGCAAAATAATTGAACTTGTTAGTTCGTAAATCTTCGTTAGATTCATTGCGATAGTGAATTATAATTATATAATAATAACTACAAAAAGACACATTACAGGAGGGGACAAAATTTTAAACTTATAACAAGAGATGGTTACTTATTAAGAATTAATTAAGAAAAAAGTAATTAAGTAAAATAAAATTAGTAAGAAAGTACTCACTGCCATATAATGTCATAAGCGAAGGCGGTCGACTCGCAAGTACCGGTGTGGAGCCATACCGCTCTCCGCCCGCAGACAAGCGCCCGCCTAGTGGCTTGAAAGCTATCGGACGGATTACCGATTTGCCCTGTAAACAATATAAAAAGTAAGTATATAGGCATGTATATCAAAAGTGGGTCTCGCACCTCTGATATTTTCATGTGCGAATCATTTCCAACATGATTACCACTTGTCTTAACGGTGAAGGAAAACATCGTGAGGAAACCTGCATGTCTGAGAGAACCTAGCAAATTTTCAAAAGACATGTGAAGTCCGCCAATCCGCACTTGGCCAGCGTGGTGGACTATGGCCTGATTCCCCTCGTACTGAAGGGAGGCCCGAGCCCAGCAGTGGGACGTTAAAAAGGGCTGAATACATATCAAAAGTAAATATTTATATTTATTAAAAGTATCAGAATAAAACTTCGAAAATAATTTATTTCAAAACAATTGTAGAAGATAATTAATAACTTTTTATACGAAACTAAAATTTTGTGAAAAATTGCTATTATAGTAAGGATTCTTGTTTTAAGGTCAAATTTAACAATCAGATAAATTTAAAAATTAATTAATAAAAATATTAATTGTTTCCGCTATTTCGTGCTAAGTGACCTCTAGTTCTACACGTAACGCTCGTTGATGTGATGTATGTAAGTACGTCTTTATAAACAATCAATATAAAGCTCTATTAACATCTTTTATTATTCATTGTAATTAAATCGATATTACTTATTATTATTTGACGTAACATATTATATATATATATATATATATATATATATATATATATATATATATATATTTATTTATTTATTACTGCGTCATTTAAATATTTGTCATGGTCTGGTTAAAACCAACTGCGGCATTGAAGACGATCATCTAACTCGAATTGGTATAATCCTTTTCCAACTATTATTAAATTTCAATCATTTATACTAGGAGTATTGATAATAATTAAGAAAACATCATTTTTGACTCTTAATAAATTCGTCTTAATATATTTATTAACTTTTTGACATTATTAATCAAAACAAAATATAGCATCTATTATGTTTTTTTTTATATTATTAATCTTTGGGTGCATAATAATAAAATCACAGGTAAATGTCAAGATCAATTAACAAATGACAGATATGCATTTTATACTGACACGAAATATACTCTTATTAATAATCAAAAATTTTGCCAAGAAATATCATTAAAAAAATGTCAAAAGACGATATATACGTATATATACTATAGATATATATTAATTACTGACAAATTAACATATCGTTAAATGTGAAACCAAATTTAATACTATTTTTCTGATTAAAACAAATCCTCCATTATTAGATCTATCGTTGACCTTATTCCTATGAATTCAGTTATAATACATTTTACATAACGATATACCTACCCAATACGGCTATTAGTATAAATACATTATGCATATTTATCAAATATAATAAATAATTCGAGAGTATTGGGCAGTAGAGTAGACATTATTTTTGTCAGGGCATGTAATGATATTCGTTACAGAAATTTAAGCTAATAGTTATATCGCAATGATATCTACAGAGCGGCACGGATTCGGCATTTTATACGCAACGACGCGACGCAATGAAATGTCACAACGAAAAGGTCGTATATACAATGCGTTTAGATATAAAAAATATACTAAGTACATTAGAAATAGTAGTAGTATAGTGAATGTGATTATAAGTATAATGTAAAGGATAAGGCAGTGGTAGCCTAGTGATGTGTCTGACACCTCGATATTTTCATGTGCGAATCATTTTCAACATGGTTATCATTTGCTAGGTGCCTTTATTAAAGTTAAATGTGGACGAAAATATCATAAGGATATCCATATGTTTGACAAAACCTAGTTTTCGGAAGACATGTAAGGTCCGCTAACCGCACTTGGCCAGCATGGTAGCCTATAGCCTCACCTCTTTGCAATCTTCAATGCAAAAGAGGTTCAGTTCCAGCAATGGGACGTTAAAAGGGCTTGTTATGATAATAAGTATATCCAAAAATTACCATTTTCAGTAGACTTTATTCAGTATTCGTGGAAAATTATGTAGAAAGTTTCTCAAACGGTAAAATTACATAGTTAAAAGAGCTAAGCAAGGAGAATTCATACACTATATCATTTAAGTAAGTAATTTTCTAAAGTAATTGTAGGTATTTGTCGATATGTTCTTCGTCAAAATGCATTATGCAGAACGAGTAGCAAGTTATTTGACATTGGACAATGTAACTAGGTAGAACAAAGCTTGACCATTTAAGCTTTATATGTACCTACGCAGATCTTATCTGTGATAACAGGCGTATCGAATATCAATATCGATTTAGGATAAGCTTTTTACAATGACATTATTATCAATTTGTTTTAATTTTTTATTACACATAAGTACGTAAGCTTGCTTTAAAGCTAATAGAAGAAGAGTTGTCGGATAATAAATACTCACTAACTTGTACAGTAACTTCTAAAGGAATATGTAAGATTTATAACTAATTTTATAAATGAAATCACAGGGGGGTGTTCTTATAAATAGAAACTTGACATTTATAACTTCTATGAAAGCATCCAGAGAAGGCGGAGCAAAAAGATCAGTAAGCATCTAAAATAATAATAAAAATATATGTAATGGTGATATCTCCTTACATATTTATATCAATTTAATATACAAAATAATGTCAGTGTTTAGACAAAATGGCAATCGTGATAAATGTTTTGTACTTTTAACCGTTCAAGTAATACCGTTACGCAAGCCCAGTATTTATATCATTTGGTCTCCAGTCAATCATTTTGTTGCATAATTTGCGTTAGTTCCGGTGTTTAGTACAATAGCCTCGTTTATATTGACTTAAGCGTTTACAAGCTTTTGCTTAGAGCTTTTATTGTTATCGATCTGCCATACTTCTATGACATAATATTTTTTGTAGTAGATACTTGTTGCGAAGTCACAAAATATTTGGTAGTAATGTTATAAATACAAAGCAAGTTCGTTTTTTAGCCCTAACAATGGATCCATTTAAACTTTTCTTTATAGAAAATCTCGTTTTTGGACCAAGGAGATACATAATCTAATTTTTATTCTGTTACATAGATAGTTGGTACAAAAATAACCAACGGTGTGTACCAATAGTTAGTAATATTGAAATGAAATAATATTCAAGCAAAGCTTCACTACAAAAGCTTCAATTGATATTCTCAAGTAAGTATGAATGTAGAATCGAATAATACACAATATGGTCTGAGAATACATTCATTACAACAATTTATATGGAACATTGGTTTACTCAGTTACATACAAACTCAAATGTGAATCCTTAACTGATGCCAAGAATGGTATTGAATCGGCATTTTACTTAATAAACGCACAACGCTCTAGTTTAATTTAAATCAAAATATACGAGAACTTCATTGAAATAGACTTTTACACTTATAAATCGTTAATTCTTACATTTAAATTTTTGTCTGTTTGTCTAGGAACGCATGACAAGAAAACCACTGGATAAATTTGGATTAAATTTGGTATGATGAAAACCGATTATTAGGCCCAATATAGGATACTTTTTGTTGCGGGAAAATATCTCATCTCTGACAAATCTTATAATAAACGTTAAAACGGAACGCTAGTCAAATAATAAAAATGTTAAAGCTGGAACCGGTTAAATTTATACACAACAACAATAAAACAAACACTAACAAGTTAATTATTCGCGGTATAATAAAATTTAACGGTTAATCGCATTTAAACAACTTAACTGACAATTAATTACTAATTAGAGATTTATATCCCGTTCCTACTTCGTACATCGATACCTACTTTCTAATGTGATTCCATTAATGCCTATAACAGTTTATATGATTAAAAACTTGGCTCGTAAAATATTCATTAATATGCCACACATCATCCAAACAAAGCTTTATTGTAGTTTATAAATTATTTATTTATTCTAATAATCAATAAAATATATATATATATATATATATATATATATATATATATATATATATATATATATATATAATAATTCCTCAACGACCGCGTACACGCCGGCGTTACAGTTAATAATAGATTTCTTAGATATTAATTAATTTCTTAGAAATTTACCTGGACGTGATATATATATATTGGAATCGATTATATATTGAAAATCAATTCATCGGTACCTATTTAACTTCTTTGTCTTATAAAAGAAGTATCTCGAAACTACTATTTGCAGGTAAAACTAAAAGCTTAGCTTCTACTACTACCGACAAAATATCCGTCGAGTATAAAGCGATACTCTATATATATGTATGTATGACACTTCAAAAGTCATTAATTATATAATTAAGAAAAATTTATAAAAAATTAGGTCAAGTTATAAGATGGCATCGAATTCTTATTAAAAGATGTCATACTAAGCCTTAATCAATAACTTTTAAAAGAAAAACACAATGTGTTTTTTCGGTGTAAATAAAAGTTCATTGAGATTAAAAAGCTTTGAAAGAAGGTCGATTAACGGATAATTTTTATAGTATTGTTTTTTTTCCAAATTCTTATCATAATCAGATAACACTTACAAAAGTATCATATTCGTAAATAATAATAAAAACTGTTTGCTGTTAATTAGAGTTTCATTAAGACTGCAATTGTTATATACCTATACTTATGTTTCAACACGCTTTTATATGCTTCATCTGTAACTAACTTACTGCGCAATCAACTCTTGGAAGTGCTTTATTATGTCGTAATGGCAGTCTATAAAATTTTAATAATAAGTATAATAAAGTTAAAATCTATAATAAAAGTAATAATAAGTTAAAATCATTTAAGTTTAAATATCACAATAATTTGATGCCGTCAAGTTGACTTGATGATGAAGTCATTTCAGTCAGTTGACGAGACCTATTATATACCTATTATTATAAGTTATTCAAAAGCTTTTTTTTGAAGTTATACTTTTTTTGGCACGTTTGGAAAAGAAAGAATATGAGAGTAACACGATGCGCGCGTACACCTGCAGCCAAAAATCGACATGATGAAGTTAGCTGCATTCCTTTTACAAACAGATAATTGTGACTACTTTTGTTCTGTTACGCCAAAGA